GACGCATTATGAAAAATTTGAATTTGCTGATTTGAGGAATAGCTAGTGGCTAGAAAATCGAAATGACTTCTGATTCGAACACTCATGTGCGCGTGGCGCCGTGGATTTCTTTACAAGACCACCGTTGAAGTTTATACGGATAAACATGGAATGCGTGCGCATATTCAATAGATATCGTAGTTGGACCTATATAAAACTTTCACATAGGAATGGAAAGGGCCTTTCTTTTTTTTTGGGTTACTGGCTTCTTAGAAGCTACCACAAAAGTTTATAGTACCTGACAAAAGAATACTTCTTCTTTTTATTGGTATAAAAATCCCAGCTTGTGAACCTTACCAACAGAAGTAGAATATCGATAGCTCAGCTTATGAGGACAAGAGTTTAGATCGCAATGTTTGGTACTACAAAAAAGCTGGGCATGGGACTTGAGAATCGTTGGAAGTACAAAACGGGTAAAAATTGTTAAGACCCAAGAGAAAAAGAAATCTCATAACTACAAATTAGTTAATGTAGATGTGATAATAGGCAGATGAGAGTAACAGTTTAATGCATTGTTCCCTTGATTTTGCTGGCCATATCAGTAAGGAAAGCTAGGAAGAAATTGTTCTATAAGTTTAGATGAAAATATTGCATTGTCAATGCAATTTTGGATTCCAACATATTGTTTGAAAAAAATCTTATCTCTGTAATGTTGGTTGAAGGATTGGGGTTAGTCACTGTCACGCCGTCACCGGATTGTTCGATTTTAAACCGAGCCGAAAGATTAAGAAAAGAAAGAACATATATTAATCCATTTTTATAAAGATAAATTTATATAATTCTCACTGAGTTTACTTAGTAAACTCAAACCACGAGTTTAAATGTTTCAGGAAATTCCTAAGAGAAGTAATGGCTGAAAGAGAAGAACATGTTTACAGAAGGCGAGGTGCAAATGACAACAGGTAAAATAGATTTTTTTTTTAGTGGCTCTTCAGTTTATAGAAAAGTTTTGATGATGAGTAAAATTTATACTTTTGGAAATGTACTACCGTCCGACTTTTCGTACCCGCCTCGTTAGATCGAGCATCCGGGACGGGTCGTGACACTTGTTGTAATCCAAAAAAGCCTTCTTTGTTCCTAAAAGGTACCAGTTGCATGTCAGCATTTGATTTTTCAGTTTCATCACTTATTAGTCGATCCATGCAATGATATAATCCCAACTTTATTTCAAGGTTTGTAGACTTGTTCTCTGCATATTGATATTGAGGGTTTAGGTAATAACCAGCTGCATGCAAGTGCCGGTGAAGTTGTAGCTCCCACCTATTATCAATAATATTCCAAATTTTTCTAAAACTATTCTCTTCGCCTCTTAAGTTGGAGGCAATCATTTCTTTGGCTTCATCCATGACATTGTAGATGAAACCCATTGCAGGCTTCTTCTCAGCATCCACCATCCTTAAAATTTGAAATAAAAGGTTTAGTGGTTGTAATGACATATAAGATACTTTGCCAGAATCTATTATTTAAAATAATCTTTCTAATCTTTTTTCCCTCAACATTCTTCGTCTAAGCACAATTCAAAAGTTAATGTGATAATCTTTCTAAACTTGAGGCGTACGCCTCAAATCCTGAACTCATTGCGTGGGCTTTGAGGCTTAAAGGGGCGAAATTTCGCTAAGGTGTGCCTCTTATTGCACAATTTTAAACCATGACTAACACCACTTGTACATTTGAACGTACATTTGAATATAAACACATATTACCTACTTTCGTTAGATTGCCATGTTCTGTAGATTGTTCCTCTCCACTTCAAGCTATTTCTACTTATCAGAAGATTTATCTAAAAAAATATAATATTATAGTTTGAGTTTACATAGTAAACTTAGTGGATAATTACCATTTCATATACAACAATTAAACATATAATTTAAAACATGTATGTTCTTTGATCTTTCTTACATATTTAACATATAAGTAATTTTTTATATACTGTAGACTTTTACAACTTACTCTTCACATAACTTATTTCTTATTTTGTTTCATTTCTCTATTTTTATTTAACATTTATTCTCTTTCCATTACAATTAGTATAGGAGCACCGTCTAAATGTACTAATAAAAGTACGACCATTTACATTTTTTTCCTTTTATATTTTTATTTAATATTCACGGGTACTTTGCTTCCTCAACTAGTATCATAAGGGGTTGAACTCCTGTAATTTGCATGTATGCACATTTTATTTCTTTTAATACTTTCATTTTTGTATAAATCATTATTCATATATACATTACACTATATACTTCAGTAATTCGTTCATTTTCAAGTTGTTGCATATATAACACTTAAATATCTTATTTATATTACAATAATTCATATTATCTATACTACAATAATTCCATACAATGAGAATTCATATTTTCATATTTATTATTCTCTCCATTAATCCATATAATACTCAATAATAGTAATACTAAAAAATAAATTGTAATAATATAAATAAAAATTGAAATTAAATAAATAATTGCATTATAATTACCCACTTTGAGGGGATGAAGGAGAAGAGGAAGAGTGAAAGGAGAGAAGAAATGAGAGAGAAAATGGAGGAGGAGAAAATGGAGGAAGAAGAAGAGGAAGGAGGAAAAGAGAAAAGAAGAAGAGGAAGAGGAAGAAGAAGGGAAGAAGAAGTAGAGGGGCGGAGGAAGATTACCTTGAGTAGGAAGCAGCGACGACAAAATAAGGCTGGTGGTGGCTTGCATGAGAAAGGAGGAGCTGAGAGAGAAAGGGGGCATACATGAGTTTCGTGCGTGAGGCGTGAGAGGGTGTGTGTGTAAGGGTTTAAGTGAAATGTTAGGGGTATTTTAGGATTTTGGTTTTTTTATTTTGAATTTAATTTTTTTAATTTCATCTCTCTTTTTATTATTTCTTATAATTATATAATATCAAAGTTTATTAATTAATTGTGCATCGACTTGGTCGTCATGTCATCGTCGTTGTTCGTGCATGTCAATGCAGCCTTTATTCTTGCACGTGAAATTTAAATTTTCGCCGATCAATGACCCCAATCAATATGGGTGTCAATCCTAGCTGTTTCCGTTGCTCCGGATGTGCCGATGTTGTCCGTTTTACGAATAGAGCCCATTTCAGCAATTTGGGGTTTTTTGTCAACGCACGTCGAGCATTGTTGTCAATGACACAAAATAGCGCGCGCCATGGCGCACGGAGCGGCGCGGCGCACTTACGTCGCCATGTTCATGGTGAGGCGCATGTGTTTAAAATAATGCGAGCTATTTGCGCCACATGTGAGCCATGGCACACGACAAAAAATGGCGCGCCAAATTGTTTAAATGTGACGTCCACCTTTTAAAATAAAAAAAAAGCTCGGTACCGCTAGGTACATGCTCGGTACCATTAGGTATCTTTCCATGCAAACGATTTACAAACTTTAAAAATAAACAAAACTTTAAAATTACTCTTACAAATAAAAATTTTTTCGGGGGCAGCGCCCCCTTGGACCCCCGGCAGCTCTATATATTATTGTATTCATCATATTTAGTAATAGTTGTTAGTGTTAGTATGCTTCTTCATGAGTGCATGCTTTGATTGAGAGACATTGGACTCTATAGGAGACGAGGAAGGGGTGATGATTTTAAATGTGAATTCTTGTCCTTGGACAATATTGTTGTGAAATGTAAAGTTTTCGTCATGTTGGACAATATTATTATATATTCATGCTTATTATTTTATAATTCTTATATAATTTGCGCCATGTTCAAAATGGCGTGCGCCGTGCCGTGCGCTATGCGCCATGGCTCCAAAGGGATCTTTGTGCCATGGTGTGACATTCGCCATTAACAGGTATGGCGTCGGGTAAGTTACGTGCGAGGAGAATTATTTAAGGCAAACACAAGAGTTTTTTTTTTTTTTTTTTAAGTAGTGTTAAAAAAAAAGGCAAACACAAGAGTTAGAAATCATTATCATTTTGAGCTAGGGAACATGACCCGAATGATTTTTCTAGAAGTTGAGGAAATTTTTGAGTTTATCAATTACTTTTTGATTGAGCCCTTTTGATTCCACAAGGCTGGTTTTCCCGTTTTGGTGATTTTCTTTATTTCGACCATAGCTTGTTGGCTTTTTGTGGAGTTTTTAGTATTTTTCATTGTCTGTTCTTTATTCTTGCAGTAGTTATACCATAGATTGTCTTTAGAAGAAGGCTTTTGCCTTCTTTAAGGAAAGAATTTGCAGCGATATGTCTTTTATCTTGAGGTTTGGTGGTTGTTATGGCAGAGGTTTTGAAGATTGGATCATAGAGCATTATTGTCCTTCTTTTTTGGCTTGTATGAGGAACAAACCTTATTTTGATCGTAGATTTTCTTTACTTTTTGAGCATCTTTGATGGCGTCCCAAACATCTTTTGCAATAGAGAGGAATATATATATAACTCACTAATTTTAAGCATCTTAGTATTTTACATTCATTACATGATCATAGAATTTTTCAATTCATTTCTTCCCAAAGCACAAATTTTATATCTTTTGGCTCTAGGAGAGGACTCATAAGACGATGAATCATTTTTTTTTTCTCTTTTTAGAGAGATCTTCACAATTTGAGTCCATTTTAAATTGTTTCTCTCATTTTGGCAATTTGGGGGTTGTAATTCCTGAAGTTCTCATTTAGTCTGATTTACATTATTTGTGATGATCAACTTCTTAGAAGACAAGTCAAAGAAACGAGCCATAATAAAGAGAAGGAAGATTTTGATAAAAAATGAGAAAAAAAAAAGAATAAAAGTTGAGAGATGAAAACCTTAATTCTATTCAAACACATCTGCAACAGCACCTACTGTTTCTTTTGATCGTCTGACAAAATATTCAGCCTATAAGTGTTTTGTAAATTATAGATCAGTAAGAAATTATACCATCTGCAGTAAGCAACAATTATGTTAACAATTTTTTTTGTCTAGAGTCGATCTTACTGCCGCTGAATGCCTATTTTTTATATGCTAAATTATTTCCCTTTTTTAGGCTGAAAAGGGAAGACCAGATTATGTTGGAAGGATTTTAGAGTTTTTTAAAACAACGAAAGGCGAAAACTACTTCACTGTACAATGGTTTTTCCGAGCTGACGATACTGTGAGCTTAATTTTACTTCTGATTCATTTCTTATTTTATTAAGCACATTTTTATTTTGATGATCTGTTGTTGACTTTGTTAATAGATAGGTGTACATAATTACAATTTCATTGTATGAGTCTTATTAGCTTCTTTGTGCTTATGGTCTTTGCCTTTGTTCATCTGCCCTAGGTTATGAAGGATCAGTCAGAATCCCATGATAAAAAGAGATTATTCTACTCCAACTTGAAGAATGATAATCTTTTAAATTGTCTTGTTTCAAAAGTAAAGGTTGCACAGGTTGCTCCAAGTGTATGTTCTATAATTCTAAATGTGAATAGCCTCTTAGCTCTCTTTATATGCTAGAATGTATATTTTTACACATGCTAATGCATACATATATACATATTCTTACTTTATGCGCTCTATATGTTTCTCAGTATATGTCTCTATTATGTTTTTTATGTAGTTGTGTGTATGCTGTTGTTTGTGTTTTCATGTTTACATATTTTTGTGTATTTGCATGTCTGTATATGTATAGTTGTGCTTGCCTCTATTTATGAATGTACCCATGTGTTTGCTTATTTTATGTGAATGTGAGTTTTAGTATAGATATCTGCATACACCTGCTTAGATACATGTTTGTATATTTTTATCCATTCACATTCTCAGACAAACAAGTACTTTTACTTCTGTACTGCATTAATATAAATAGCGCATGCTATTTAGTTGTTGATCCTAATTCTCATGCATTCATATTTAATGTTTCACATCTTTCATAAGTCGACGTAGCTGTATTTTCTTGGTTAGCATTAATTTCTAGAAATCATTTATTGCAGGTGGAGCTAAAGCCTAGATCTGCTCCATCCTTCTACTTCTATTACGACATGAAATACTCTGTGGACTATTCTACTTTTCAAACCATTGATTCAAGTAAGCTGAATGGCTTGTTTATAAAATTGGACTCGTTGGCGATTAATTTTGCTTTTCTGATTTGTATTCATATTCATGGTTTGTGAGCATCTGATAAGATCTTCCAAACAAAATTTACAGGTTCATACTTCAACTTCTTCATGCAATTCGATCAAATTGTTAACTCTTGAGTCTTGACCTGTATTAATCTCTTGTCACATTATCTTCTTTTTTAGAACAGTGGCTGCTGGGATGTCTGAAAATGTAGTCTCAGAATTTTCTAGCTAGATGTCCACAATAACAAAATACCTTCACTTAATGTTACAGTTACTTCTATTAAAATTATATTTACTAATTTTGCGACTGTATAGTATCATGAAATTTGAAACATCAATAAACAACACAAATGGTACTAGTACTGTTGACTAAATAAAAAAAAATAGAGAAGAGATGCATCATTTGAAGGCTTCCTATCTGGCCCCACCTTAGGAAGTTGATTCCGAAACAAAGCATTATTTCATTCCCGTAACTTCTTGTTGAATTAATACATAACACTTAAAAGTTTATTATTTACTCATCTAATACCTAAACTTATCTATTTACGCACATACCACTTAAAAGCACTTTGTCTTTCTAAAATACCACACCGTTTACTCTCTCCGTGAAAACCAGCCCGATTTAGGGTGGACGAAGGGGGCATTCCGTCCAGTCATGGGAGTAGGCTCGGGAAGAAAGAAAGACATTTTTTGGTTGGTTTTTCTTACACGGAATACAGAATAGAGGTCTTCTCTCTGTGAAATGGGGTTTGAGAAATTGGGGAACGGGAAGGAGCGACGAAGGGGGACTCGGAGCTTGTTGAGGAGGAAGCAGGTGGATTCCTATCGGGTGAAGGCGCAGGAGGGAGGTCATCAGCTCGCTAAAGAACTCTCTGTTCACCAGCTCGTTGCAATAGGTGTTGGAAATTTCAAATCTTTTTTTGTGATCTTGCTGCTTGATTGATGCATTGTGAATTAGATGTAAATTCTACTAAAGCAACTTGTTGTTGTTGACGGTTGTTCAGTAATTCAAATTACAAGATTTTGTTTCGTTTTCACATGTCATATGTGGATTTTTGTTGAGATTAGATCTATGGTATTTTGTCCATTTGATCTAGGCTTTATGATTTTTCTGTTTCGGTGATTTTGTGAAGGAGTTTAATTGGAAGGTGTTGTTGTTTTCAGTTTCTTTTGGCGGAGGACGTTGAGGCTGCCAAATGCGGCCACGATCCTGAGCGGAGTTCGCCGAAGAATAGTCTCGGCCCTTTGGAGTTTCTTTCGAACAGACAGCCGAGAGCAGAGAGGGAGCAAGCAGACGATTTTCATGAACAGGAAGCTGAGTTTCGCGATTATTGGGTGGGTTTTGACGGAGGAAGCAGACGGAATGGTATTTTAGAAAATGAAATAAGTTTTAGATGGTATGTGTGTAAATAGACAAGTTTAGGTGTTAGATGAGTAAATAAGAAACTTTTAAGTGTTATGTATGTAAAAATTCCTATTTTTTTTGAATAGATGCGAAGCAACTCACCCACCTCCAAACCGGCCCCACCAGGCCCCACCACGAGCAGTTGGTCGCCAAACGATGCAGTTCTTCACTCACGTAACTTCCATTGGACGATTCACTCGATAAAAGGAAGGAAACGGAGATATCAAAAAAATAAAAAAAAATTTCCGCTCCTTCAACTCTGTCATTGCTGTTCGACTTTGTTGGAGTCTAGGGTTTGCCTTTCATCTTCTCTTTTCGTCATTGCTGTTCGGCTTCGTTGCTTCGCAGGAGGCAAAGAGATCACACGAGACCCCTCCGACTCCTTCGTTGCTGTTCTACGTCGCTTCTTTGGCTCGCTTGTTGTTGTTTGACTTCGGCTCGTTCGTTGTTGTCCGACCTCGTCACTTCGCGGGAGGTATAGAGGTTGCACGCGACGCTCCTTCAGCTTGCCCCTTGCTGTTTGACTTCAGATTGCTCGTTGTTGTTCGACTTTGGCTCCCTCTTTGCTATCCGACTTCGTCTCTTCGTAGGAGGGGTAGAGATTGCACGGGTAGCTTCTTCGGCCCCTTGTTGCTGTGCGACTTGGTTGCTTTATAAAAGGTGTAGAGATTATAAGAGTCATTTCCTTGATTCTTTGTGATGATTCGACTAAACTCCTTCGACGACTAACCTAGCCGAACTGGACCGTCCCCGAGCAAACTCCATTCAAAAATTTTTTATGTATAGTTATATCAATAATATATATTATATATAATATTATATATAATATATATATATCTTTAAAAAAAGAGAATGAGATAAAAAAAGTGAAAAAAGGAAATATCTTTCAAGCAAGTGTCGAAGACCCGGTCTTTGTACTTAGGCTCGGCCGAGATGTTAAAATTCGAAGACCCGCACCATGATCTAGATCTGAGTGGATGGTTGTAAAATTTGAAGCCCTTATGCCGTTGATCTTAGATCTTGATGGGATGAAATAAAATTTGAAGACCTCGGGCTGTTGTATCTTAGATCCGGCTGGGATGGTTTTAATTTGAAGAGCTGCGCCATCGATCTTAGATCTGGGCGGATGGTTGTTAATTCGAAGACTCTAGCCGTTGACTTAGGTCGGTTAGTAAGTAATTACGGCGGTGCCGTCCCGATTTCTCCCTAGCTTTGGAGGAGATGTCGGGAGGGTTAAAAATTTCAGAACTTTTTAGAGTAATTATAGAGCAATTAAATTTGAATTTTTGATTAATTAATTAAAAAATTTTAATTAATTAAAATTAATTGAAATTAATTGATTGATTATTTTAAAGAAAATTCCAAGAGCATTTGAAATCAGTAAGTTTCAAAATGCGAGAGCATTTTCAATAAAAATTTTAAATTTGATAATTTTAAATGCTGAGAATTTTAAAATCCGAGAGTTATTTAAAAGTTTAAGAGCAGTGAAATATAAAATTGATTTATTGGTTCATGATTTAATTAATCAAATAAAAAAAAAATAAAATAAAATGAAGTAAAAAAAAGAAAGGTGTAGAATTTCACTAATTAAGATGTATTGCTTTCCCAACCTCTTCAAACAAGTAAATCTCAAACTCTCTAATAATAATTCAAACTCAGACTACGACTTTTAACAACAAACTCTAACTCTCTAATAACAATACAAACAACTCAACATACTTAATCTGAACTCTTGTGCATGCTCTCCAAAGCTCCTCAGTATGAGCTCCTACAATTACTTGTGGGCTCTATCCTCTGCAACTGCAAGCCTCGGCTACTATAATTATTGGCTACGAACACCTGGAAAGAAATAAATGAATAGTCAGTACATCATAAATAAATTGAATGAATGCTGATAAATCTAAGGCTATAAGCTATTGCAGGTAGAACAAGGTACTGGAAAGTAAGAAAAGCTAAATACTAAAAAACTAGTAGAGTAACAGTGCTAGAAAACGAGTAGAGTAGTGGATTATTGTAGTAGGAAAAATACTACGAATATAGAACAAATAAAATATTAACTCAAGTATCAAACCTCTCAAAACAATGGTGTCAACTCAACAAACACAATCAAATTATAAACTTTTGGGCAATCTTGTTTATAAGAACTTGGTTGTAAGACCCACCATCCAACAACTTTCAAAGGAAAACAGTATGTCCGATCTTATGGGAGAGTTTTAGGTAAAATTGACCCAACCCCAATTAAAACACCAGCCACTTCTAATAGAAGCCATAAATCTGACATATGAGGAAAAAAGTTTAGGTGATAATACAACCTTAGATCTCTTACTCGGGCATCCTAACCTATAGGGTTAGGTTGTAAGATCCACCAATGGGCCACCTCTAAGTGAAGTCATAAGTCCCATATGTTAGGTATACTTTTAAAATAAAGTACAACCCTAACGCTCCTACAAATAACTAAGCAACTTTTCAGAAAGTCATTGAATCTTCCAACGAACCTTCCAATCAAAATTTATGAGCATCCTAGTTTATAGGATTAGGTTGTAAGGTCCTGTATCAGGCAACTTCTAAGTAAATTTGTACGTAGACCCATATTTTAGGAAAATTACTAAATAAATCGCAATGATCATAAACCCCAAATAATCCAATTCAAATCAATGAGCATCTTTAGTCTAGAGGATTAAGTTGTAAGATTCGCTTATCAGGTTACTTCCTAAGGAAAGTCATAAGACTTACCCAAACAATTAAAACTTTCGGGTAGCCTCACTATAGAGTTAGGTTGTAAGATCCATCCTTTGGCAACTCATAAATAGAGCACTAAGCCCCATTCCAAATCAAATCCTTGGGCAACTCACAAATAGAGCAGTAAGCCCATCTTAAATTAACTATCTGGGTTACTTTCTACTAAAGATGTAAATCCCAACCTCAATCTAAATACTTGAGCTACTTCTTAAAGAAGCTTTAAGACCTGCTCCAATCCAAACTCTTGTGTTACTTCTAAACAAAGTTTAAATTCTAAACTAAATTAATTTTTGGGTATTCTAATGGATGTAAACCCCAAAACACCCAATAAAATTAAAATCCACATCTAATCACTTCAGTCTACTCGGGATCTCAGAGAGGAGACAACCCATTGCTGCTAATCAGATTCTATGGATATTGCGGTCAATGATTATTAGTATTGGTAGATTGGAACTATGGTATACCTGGGACGAAGAAACCATAAGATCTTGATTGGGTTTACCTCCATTTTTCCCATAATTGAGATTAAACTACCTAAAAATTATTTCATCCTTAATCGAGAGCTCTCTCTTACGTGTTAAAAGAGGTAATTAACTATGAGTGCTTGCGCTCATAGGAAGTAAGGACCCCAGATCTATTTAAACCCTGACACAACCCTCAGGAAAAATCTGATTAATTTCAATCTAACTTAAGGGAAGTGGAATCCTATAGCTATAAAGCAGGATTCTTGCATTTGTGCCATTTTTCATGAGCCAACACTTCTCATTGACATTCCAAACCAATAAAAAGACAGAAACCGAATAGAAGAAAAAAAAACTTAC